AAACAAAATGCTGTAGAGCGCAGAATGAAATATGTTAAAAGCGAACAAAGACATGAGTAATCATGGATTAGATATTTATAAAATCAATATTGATATCTTCCTTAACTAAATGTAACGGAAACATCATAGGTTATTGCTGTTCATAGCTTCATATCAATTCGAAACGGTTACTACAGCACAGTGCTGTTCTAGGTTCATAACATCGTTGTTGCAGACCTGGTTCTATACTAAGAGATGCTGCCCATTGGGCCATACAAATTCTTAAAAAGTCTAATGCCTTACGGATAATAAGTACGGGTAATGACCAGTAGTTGTGACAGTGATCTGGTGAGCTTATCATTACCTACTATCTTAGGTTAACCATACAGTGCCCCTTCATTAATGATCAAACAAGTACTGAGAGCATGAATTCGCCACTCTGCCAAAGAAAATGGTTTGGTTTTATTAAGCTTAACGTTCTATTAACAGCTAGGGTCTTTCATTGACTTACCTCCATGTGTATCATGCATGAGTGTTTGTTTGATGCAGACGGTATATTGGCGAAGGCCCCCAGCAGAGAATGCCTAGCGTATACGTTATACTGACAACGGACTTACAATTTGGTGCGATTACCCGAATTGCTAAACGTTTAACAGGGATGCCTTTTTAATGACTTTGCCATTTCTCGCCCTGGGACATAACCCATTGCCTTCATCACTTTGACGAACACGTTGAACACTGAAGTCAAGAGTGCGGTTTCGCCAATCATTGAACTTTAAAACAAAAAGGCTCCCACGAAGTAGAGAGAAACTATAAAGATCGAAAATGTTTCAATGTATGCAATAGACATTTTGGGCAAATTCCAAATTCTGCAGGGGATTCAACCATTAGTTGCCCCTTACAATACACGCAGTGATCTGCAGTGGCGATTGAAGTTGTTTACACGAATGATCAATATTGCAGATTGTCAAACAAGCAATCAGTCATGCGTAAACGGATGGTCACCCATTCGTGCATAATTGTAAATAACATGAACAGTCTTGAATAACCGTCATATAGTTTACCAGTCGTACCTAATCATCAAACGAATGATTAGGTATACATGTTCGTCAGGCGAATGATCAGTTATACATGTTCGTCAGGCGAATGATCAATTATACATGTTCGTCAGGCGAATGTTAGTTATACATGTTCGTCAGGCGAATGACCAGTTATACATGTCCGTCAGGCGAATGATCAGTTATACATGTTCGTCAGGCGAATGATCAATTATACATGCTCTTCAGGCAAATGATCAGTTATACATGTTCTTCAGGCGAATTGTCAGTTATACATGTTCGTGAGGCAAATAATCAGTTATACATGCTCGTCAGGCAAATGATCAGTTATACATGTTCTTCAGGCGAATGATCAGTTATACATGCTCGTCAGGCGAATGATCAGTTATACATGTTCGCCAGGCGAATGATTAGTTATACATGTTCGTCAAGCGAATGATCAGTTATACATGTTCTTCAGGCGAATGATCAGTTATACATGCTCGTCAGGCAAATGATCAGTTATACATGTTCTTTAGGCAAATGATCAGTTATACATGTTCGTCAGGCGAATGATCAGTCATGCGTAATCATCAGGCGAATGATCATTCGGCGAATGATCACTCATGTGTTATTATCAGAAAATGATCAGTCATGCGTTATAATGAGGCGAATGATCAGTAATGCGTTATTATCAGGTTAAGTGACAGTCATGCGTTATCATCAGACGAATGATCAGTCATGCGTTATCATCAGACGAATGATCAGTCATGTGTTATCACCATACGAATGATCAGTCATGTGTTATCACCAGACGAAGGAACAGTCATGCGTTATCATCAGACGAATGATCAGTCATGTGTTATCATCAGACGAATGATCAGACATGCGTTATCATCAGACGAATGATCAGTCATGGGCTATCACCATACGAATGATCAGTCATGTGTTATCATCAGACGAATGATCAGACATGCGTTATCGTCAGACGAATGATCAGTAATGCGTTATCATCAGACACATGATTAGTAATGCGCTATCATCAGCCGTATGCTCAGTCATGTGTCATCATCAGGCGAATGTTCAGTCATGTACAATTGTATATAGTTAGCATAGTTTGTTGAACACATATAACAGATACTTAGTACAGTGGGTTGTATGTAGAATTAGTAAATATTGTAATGAGTAATGGTATTTGTTCAAAATTACTACTTCGTGACGTTAAACCCTGGGCGACTTGTTAGCATTATCTTCACCGCTAACTCAACTTGCTTCTTGATAAACCCTGTTCGTATATTTTAATGTTTGGTTTAATGAAAGAATAGTCAACAGATTATTCCGATTTAACTGGTATCACTGCTAGTGGATCAATGAAGTAATATATATACATTTACAAACGAAATTGCTAAAGTAGCTGGAATGTATTCTTACACTGTTTGAATGAAAGACAAACTTAACTGACTTATTGTAACCAGAAGTTGTACATTTTTAACATTATAACGGTTCCTTCGATGCATTTCCCCTTTACTTTATTTCTACATATATTTTGATATACATTTTTTAAAAGTTTTTTTTAACTTAAGCACCCCTGGCGGGTCCAAAATACGAAATTATCTTAAGGGGAAGAAACTCGTTTACATTGTTTAACTTCATGCATCTACTTACTGAAGTGTTGACTATTTTTATGTCATATTTCTGGTGATTATAATTAGCTTGTGACTCTGGATGTATACAAGAATGTTTAAAGAAAAAGAGATGTTTCTTTTTTTTAGATATTGATGATTTCTTGTCTTTCAGTAATAAGAATTCTGATAACTTCTTGCACTGTATTTATATTTCATAACTTGAATTCAAATATACGGGATTATCAAGAGGAAACATGTCGGGTAGGTGCCCCCATACCTTTCCACGACCGATCGGAGAATCGAACGCCGGTGGCTTGGTGAAAGACGAGTGCTCTAAGCACTGCGCCAGCAATCCGACTCCTGTGATGAAGTTTGGTATAGATGCGATATTTTTGTTTGTATCAATCAAAAAGAACAAATAATTGAAAGTAAAACATTTAATTTGGAAAATACAAAGGGTTTGTTCTCACAAGTTCCGCTACACAGATGAAGATATTTTGTGTTAAATGAAACAATCCGATTGAATTGCTCTGTGTATATCTTCCTGGTTAACAAGTTACATATGATATTCCTACGACCTACGATAAGACATATTTTCTCCGTATAATAAGGATAATAATGAATAAACTGCAAATAATTTTGTTTGGAAATATTTTTTTTCCCTTAGCTAGTTTTATTTTCATACTTCCCCGACAATTTTATGGATGTAATCCGAGGAGTGATAATTGTATATTGATATTCAATGAAGATAGTTTATTCTTAAAAAACCCATTCAGGGGTGATTTATGGAATAAGGTGAATTCAGGATATTGTTAACCAAAATAAGGTCCTTTCGGTTGGATGTCTGAATCATGTCATAATTCATGCTTTTAAAAATAATTTCTGTCTTCAATGTAGGGATTTTTCTGATAAGAGAAAATTTGGCGTAGATTTGACGTTATCGCACAACGTGTGATGACACAAAACTGTGTGACGTCACGCCGGTATTATTCTTATAAATTATTTCTTAATTGGTTCCTTTCTTTTAATTTCTAATATTTAGTAAACGATACAAGGTTGTTAACCTCTGGTTCTTGTTGATTCAGTTTCCGTTATATTTAGTAAACGATACGAGGTTGTTAACCTCTGGTTCTTGTTGATTCAGTTTCCGTTATTTTTAGTAAACGACACGAGGTTGTTTAACTCTGGTTCTTGTTGATTCAGTTTCCATTATATTTAGTAAACGACACGAAGTTGTTTAACTCTGGTTCTTGTTGATTCAGTTTCCGTTATATTTAGTAAACGATACGAGATTGTTTATCTCTGGTTCTTGTTGATTCAGTTTCCGTTATTTTTAGTAAACGATACTAGGTTGTTTATCTCTGGTTCTTGTTGATTCAGTATCCGTTATATTTAGTAAACGATCCGAGGTTGTTTAACTCTGGTTCTTGTTGATTCAGTTTCCGTTATTTTTAGTAAACGATACGAGGTTGTTTATCTCTGGTTCTTGTTGATTCAGTATCCGTTATATTTAGTAAACGACACGAGGTTGTTTAACTCTGGTACTTGTTTATTCAGTTTCCGTTATATTTAGTAAACGACACGAGGTTGTTTAACTCTGGTACTTGTTGATTCAGTTTCCGTTATATTTAGTAAACGACACGTGGTTGTGTTTAACTCTGGTTCTTGTTGATTCAGTTTCCGTTATTTTTAGTAAACGATACGAGGTTGTTTATCTCTGGTTCTTGTTGATTCAGTATCCGTTATATTTAGTAAACGACACGAGGTTGTTTAACTCTGGTACTTGTTTATTCAGTTTCCGTTATATTTAGTAAACGATACGAGGTTGTTAACCTCTAGTTCTTGTTGATTCAGTTTCCGTTATATTTAGTAAACGACACGAGGTTGTTTAACTCTGGTACTTGTTTATTCAGTTTCCGTTATATTTAGTAAACGACACGAGGTTGTTTAACTCTGGTTCTTGTTGTTTCAGTTTCCGTTATATTTAGTCAACGACACGAGGTTGTTTAACTCTGGTTCTTGTTGTTTCAGTTTCCGTTATATTTAGTCAACGACACGAGGTTGTTTAACTCTGGTTCTTGTTGTTTTAGTTTCCGTTATATTTAGTAAACGATACGAGGTTGTTTAACTCTGGTACTTGTTGATTCAGTTTCCGTTATATTTAGTAAACGACACGAGGTTGTTTAACTCTGGTACTTGTTGATTCAGTTTCCGTTATATTTAGTAAACGACACGTGGTTGTGTTTAACTCTGGTTCTTGTTGATTCAATTTCCGTTATATTTTGTAAACGACACGAGGTTGTTTAACTCTGGTTCTTGTTGTTTCAGTTTCCGTTATATTTAGTCAACGACACGAGGTTGTTTAACTCTGGTTCTTGTTGTTTCAGTTTCCGTTATATTTAGTCAACGACACGAGGTTGTTTAACTCTGGTTCTTGTTGATTTAGTTTCCGTTATATTTAGTAAACGATACGAGGTTGTTTAACTCTGGTACTTGTTGATTCAGTTTCCGTTATATTTAGTAAACGACACGAGGTTGTTTAACTCTGGTTCTTGTTGTTTCAGTTTCCGTTATATTTAGTCAACGACACGAGGTTGTTTAACTCTGGTTCTTGTTGTTTTAGTTTCCGTTATATTTAGTAAACGATACGAGGTTGTTAACCTCTAGTTCTTGTTGATTCAGTTTCCGTTATATTTAGTAAACGACACGAGGTTGTTTAACTCTGGTACTTGTTGATTCAGTTTCCGTTATATTTAGTAAACGATACGAGGTTATTTAACTCTGGTTCTTGTTGATTCAGTTTCCGTTATTTTTAGTAAACGATACGAAATTGTTTAACTCTGGTTCTTGTTGATTCAGTTTCCGTTATATTAATTCACCTGTACAAAGTGTCTCGTCAATTACCAAAACATAGCAGTAATTTATAACTGATGCAGTGTCAGCTTATTGATATAAGTAACAAATCTAAAATAACAACAAAAAACTAACTAATAGTCTACAGTATATAGGTCACATGGGGTATAGACATTCTACTCAAGGGTTTCAAATTAGGGTCAGGGCTGAGGAGGCTTTGGGAAGGTTCTGTAACCAAATTCTGCCCCGACAGAAGAATTTACAGTGTCAAAATACATTTTATGTACCTAAATCATGAGTAACTTGTTGTTTTCACCTTTTAACCGAAAATTGGTTAAACGCGACATTAATACTACAATGGCAGCACTAAATATAGCAAATTATCTAGGTACCGTATACACAAACACAGATGGTAAACCAAAGGTAAACCCAAATTTAGAGATCCATGCATTCACTTTAGGGCAATACTTATGTTCCTGAGATGGTGTCACTTGTCGATCGCAGAGTGGTCACATTAAATGACGTTTTGACGGGTTTTCGATTGTGACGTCTTAATATAACGCAGTCCTCTGATTGGGACTTCATAATATAAGTTACCGAGTGCAATTGAATAGGATTAATAGATTATTTCAATTTTGCAAAAAAACAATGACAAGCCTCGCGTTATGAAATTCAAGAACCTCCCTCTCAGGTTGAGGTTATCCTTTGTTACCCCCAATGGGGTGAGTGATAATGTATTTACTTACCATTTGATATCATATGCAAAATGCATCTTGCACGTTTATAGCATGATGCAATGTTGGCGTGACGTAAATGCATTGTTTACGTGACGTCATTGTATTGTTGACGTGACGTCATACAATTGTTTTGACAAAGAAATTCTCCCGTCGCAACCCTAGGGTGGAACAAGAATATCTCACACAGGGAACAGTGTGGATACACCTGTCCAAGGTAAGAGAAACACGAATTCCACAAGAGGACATGTTTATCTTGCATTCGTAGAGACGAGAGAGTAAACCATCCGATTTGAACTTTCTACAATCTCATTTGTATGGGAGAACAAACACGTATATGTCTAAATAAGAGCGATTACTTCAGTGAACGATTCCTATGGCACATTGGAACATGACATTGAACATAATGTTTAAAATATGCATTTAGTAATGTGTTTTTTTACTGTATAATCAATTATCTACGATACAAATAAAACATGAAAAGACTAATTTCATACTCAGGTGTATGCGGTCTAAACCGGTCAAAATGAACTTGTTCTATTTATCTACTAAAATATCTCAATATGAAGACGTGAAAAGAAGCACCAGACAAATGTTGGTTTGATGAACAGATACACTTAATAAAGTTCTTTGTTGAATGAATATTGATCCGTGTATAATTCTAATAAACTCTTGGTTGTTGTATATATACTATATATTATCGTCGTCAGTATCAAGGACAGGCAAAATTCTTAAGGACAACTGTATCAATTGCAATATCCCCAAGTCCATCTGTGTTTTCTGTAGTTGCCTCAATGCGAACCTACGAAAAAACCAAACAATGTATTAAAGTTGTAAAGCGATGTGTCAAATGTGTCGAAGAAGCAAAATAGAGCAAAATGTAACAAAGGATAAACGGCAATGTAGAGTTTTGGAATTTAAACTCATGTCGGGAAACAGGAACCAATACGAATTACAATAAGTGGGCCATGAAATCTACCAGAAAGATAGGAGCGATTTCAGGTGAGCAAGACGGGTAAGTTTCCCCAACATCGACTGTGGTATATTTTTTGTTAAGATTAATTATTTATAAGACCCCAACGGTCTATGACAAAGTGAAGATATCTTCAACCGCTGAAGACTTTTCAGTCGTCAGTATGAGATTTCGTGTTGGAGTTGATGTGGCATTCCCTTTCGTTGTGGTGTCCACGCATTGTCGTTTCTGCTTGGACTTAAGGCTGTGATGTATGGGTGTAAACTCGTTTATATTTTCATCATCGCATGAGAGAACAAGCCAACATTCAAATTCTATAAGAGTCTCTTTGTTGATTTGTATAGTTTGTAGGTCAGCTTTGATTTAATCCCGCGAACTACATATCCATAACTACTTATCTAATTTGGATTTGAAAAATCTGTACACATAAATAACCTAGGTATTCGGCATTCACTAATATTAATCAACATTTCATCATAATTCATTTCCAAGCTGCTAATAATTTCTTCATTAATATATATGCCATATATGGAGGTTTTTATATGCTGTGAACATCGTGTTATGAAGGTAACAATTCGACTGCAATAAGTTTTGTTCCTGTGTTTTGTCTTTCTATTTTTTTTATTTTTTTTTACACAACTTTGATAACTGTCAATGTTAAAAACAATGCTAAAACTATCATTACCTAAACCGATAAAGGGCTTAAAAGAATTGTTCACGTCTATAGATGTAAGATATTGAAAATCAAGCCGAATGTTTTTATATAGGATAAAACCTGACGCTTGCTGTAGGTTAAACCACAGTATGCAATTATCAAGGGCCGGTTTTCCAATTCTACACCATGAGTTTGAACGTTTTATATTAATTCAAATTGCCACAATAATGTTAGAATAAAAACAAATAAAAAAATGTTTTGGCTGGCTACCATTTTGAACCCCAAAAAATAAGCAAAGCAGCTAGCGAGATGAAGCATACTCAGAAACTGATTATATTCACAATACATGAACAGATTAATTAAATCTCCTCAACCTGCACTACATGTAATTCCAAATGTCGTATAGATGTAAAGTAGAACATAATCCTATAGGTTACATCTGTCCTCAAAGGCAGCGTAAAATTAGTTCATCTGGACACATCGGTCAGTGTAAACAACACGTCACGGTAAACAAGATTTGTATATGTTGTGTTTACGTTTTGTCGTCAATGTGTCTGGCAGGCTGGTTAAAAGAAATATCAGAATATAATTTTGTGAGGGTTTATAATGCACGTTCAATAATATTTACCAAATATTATGATTTAAATGAAATCTATGTTGTATTTTGTGCACACCATCAACTGAAAGGATTGATGGAAGTTCAAGTGTACTTAAAAGAAAACCGTCTAGTTATTGGAAGTTTCTTTTACTTACTTGCTGATTATCGATAACTGGGATGTTGGCGGCAATAGACTTCCAATTGTTGCCCTGATTTCCCTGGAGCGTGAGTATGGTTTCTGGGTCGCCTCCTGGTAGTTGTATGTCCTGTTTGTACACAGTTAGCGTTCCTATGCTGGTTCCGTACATGTGGTAGTAAAAGGACAGACACGCAGCACCTGGAAATATTGCCATTTTTGGAAAAGGAATACAATCAATATCTTATTATTATTATTCGGGGAATGTTCGAGACAAAACTACCAGAGCGTCTTCGGAAATGACATTCGAATTGGATATTCATTTACCTTTTTTTAGTTAGACTTGTAAGTAGCTTTTATAAAATATATATCCTGATGACGGGTGTATATATAAATGGATACGTAAATCCTTAGGAAGTAACGGCAGTTTGAAACTGGGGATACTTTGGAAATCTGTCTAGTACATGATGTACTCCTCTGACCTCGTAGAAAGGGGTCAATGGCATAACTGAATAAACTAAAATATCCAATAGGTTCTTTTTTTCGTGTTTGTGCTATGGTTGGCCAAAGACACCAGTTTAACAGTTTCTGTTTTGTTTTCTCTTAATGACAGAAATGAAAAAATGAGAACAAATACAATACCGATATTGTATCAATTTTCACTTTGTTGTTGCAAATCATTTTTATAATATTAAAATCAATAAATTTTCCACAGCGGGAATCAACTTGGAAAAGTTAAAGATGACGATACTTTTTATGTCAAAAAAGTGAACTAAATGCACATTCCTTGGGAGTTCTTCCATAGCTGTTTTAAACTTGTTAATACTGTTCTGCGAACATTAGGCATCTGGATTTTTCGACACATTGTTTTTGTTGATGCATGAATAATTTCAAAATTGCTAATAATTGAAAATCATACATCCTTAGCTGTATGGCATTGTATGTCTTTGTTGTGTTGTTAGGACACACGGTAGTCTAGTGGTAGGACGCCGGGCTCGTGACCGAAGGGTTGCGGGTTCGAGTCACGGCACGGCACTGTGTTGTATCTTTGAGAAAGATACTTTACCCCGCTTGTTCCAGTCTACTCAGCTGTAAATGAGTAGGTGGTTGGGTAGTGCTAGAATTGTTGAATGATAGCTGTTCGCGCCGAAACCTAAAGAAGAGACTTCATTGACGCACGAACCATGTCATATCAGGTCAGTCGAAAGAACATCTATTTGTATCACACGTCAAATTATGAAAAAATAGATAACGTTTATCTTACATTTGGTCAACAATAACATAGCGTTGTATAAATATTTCGAATGTGCACCAGCACATCATCAACTCTGATGTCTGTGAGTTCGACCCACCAATGGAATGTGAGTACAACCACTCAATCATCACAAAACTCCCTCTGTAGTCTCTGAGATCAACCCAAAAATGGAATAAAAATATCACTCACTCTGATGTATGTGAGTACAGTCCATTAATCGGCACATCACTCACTCATATATATGTAGTACAACCCATCAATCGGCACATCACTCACTCAGATATATGTGGGTACAACCCATCAATCGCCACAGCACTCACTCAGATGTATGTGGGTACAACCCATCAATCAACACATCACTCACTCATATATATGTAGTACAACCCATCAATCGGCACATCACTCACTCAGATGTATGTGGGTACAACCCATCAATCGGCACATCACTCACTCAGATGTATGTGATTACAGCCCATCAATCGCCACACCACTCACTCAGATGTATGTGAGTATAGCCCATCAATCGCCACAGCACTCACTCAGATGTATGTGGGTACAATCGATCAATCAACACATCACTCACTCAGATATATGTGGGTTCAGCCCATCAATCAACACATCACTCACTCAGATGTTTTTCATTTCAACAGATTTTATTGACATGGTGTTATGGTCAAATGGATCAAATAACAGGCAAGCCTATATAAATTCTTTCCATAGGTGGCTAGAGTATTACAATAATATTATAGAACTATAGCTAAATGTATTTTATAGATATTTTGAAATGAAAATACATAAATGTAAACGATAAAGTAATTAAAGGGAGGTAACTCACTTTTGATTATTTACAATACAACATAGGACACACACACACACACACAAAACATAAATATAGTTATTAATTATCATAACTACACGTGTACACATGAGTTACTATTTAACATTCGATACAGTTAGGTAGATAGACCAAAAGTCCATGGGCAAGTACTGCACAGGTCATCACCACCTAAACTGTGTATTAATTATTTATATGTAACTATTTAGTCTACAGATGTAACCCGATATGTACATTTATCAAAAGTATAAGTAAAACATTGTGTAGAGGAGCACAAAATAATTAAATGAAAATATATATTTATTACATAATCAAATAAATTCACAACCATGTTCAACTGTTTTCATAGAAAATTACAGTTTTTGTCAATATACATGTATTGGCTTTCTAGATCTTGAAAAAGTTAAAACGTTTGGATTTCCCTATAAAGTAATGTATATCACAAAGCATTAGTCTGTTTGTTTCACCTTCACAATTAGGACAGCCATGTAAAATAATTTCAATATCGATATGGTTATGGTCAAGGGCATAATTACTGAGTGAGTTGAAAAATTTAATCCTCAAATCATAGTAAATAGGACATTCTAAAAAAAATGAGAGACTGTTTCCAATTCATCTGAACAAGTACATACTGGACTATCAGTTAGGTGGTCATGATGCAAATCAAACTTTAAATCACAACAATAATTTCTAAGTTGGGAAAGAATAATGTTAGCCCTTCTATCACCTTCAGTTTTGAAAATTTTAACAGATTCACTATCAGTTATAGCATTTTTGTCTAACAGCCATTTAAAACTTGCAAGTGTAGGAGAGTCGAAAAGATTAGCATCAGTGCTGTTAGCTGTGCGGCACATGACAGGAAAGAAGCTGTAAAAGTAGTTATTAGTTCTGCATATTTGTGGGTTAAAAAGTCTAGTTTGTCGGAGAGAATAATGATTTTCATTAGGATTGTTTGTAAAGGGGATGAACACATCTTGTAAATATTGGGGTGAGAGTCCATGTATTAATTTATACATCATGATATATTTGTGTTTCTCTCTTCTGGCAGAGTTTCCCAACAAAGTTCGGTATAAAGTTTATTATGAGATGTTCCTGAGCGAAGGCCTGTAATAATTCTTGCTGCTTCTAATTGTATAGATTCTAGCAGGTCTGTTGATTGCTGTGTGCAGTTATCCCAAACTATGTCAGCATATTCCAAAATTGGCCTAATAAATGCAGTATAAATTATAAGTAATGTTTTTCGATTTACTCTAGTTTTTATGTAACGAAGAATGTTGAGTCTGCTGTAAGCTTTTTCATATATCTTCTGAATATGTTGTTTCCATGATGCATCATCTTTAAGGGTAAGTCCTAAGTGTGTATGTGGTGAAGTGTCTGTAATTTGGCTGTTTTGAAAAGTTATAGTGGGGTGATTTGTGTTTTGTTTTCTTGAAAATATAACTGATTTAGTTTTATTAGGGTTAAATTGTATGTCCCATGTGTTTGCCCATTCATTCAAGTTAGTGAGTTCAGTTGTTAGTGCTTGTGCTGCTTGAGCTGGGTCTTCATCTATAATTACATAAAGAGAGGTGTCGTCTGCGAAAAGCTTAATATTAGTGGAAACATTTTCGGTGATATCATTGATGTAAAGAAGGAAGAGAAGTGGGCCAAGTACAGATCCTTGAGGTATCCCTGCATTAATAACATTGAATTGAGAAAGATAACCCTCAGTATTAACTCTTTGCATTTTGTCTGTAAGATTATTTTGGAACCAGATAAGTAAATTTCCATCAACACCATAGTTTTTTAGGTTATGTAGAAGACCTTGGTGCCACACACGGTCAAAAGTCCAGATTACTAACAATTTCATTATATATGAACAATAGTTGATTTACTGTAGAATCACCTGGTGTAAATCGGACTGGTGCTTAGTTATGATAGAATTTTCAACGAGGTAATTATAAAGATATTTGAAAATATTTTTTTCCATTAATTTACTAAGACAAGAAGTTATTGAGATAGGTCTATAGTTTGAAACATCATTGGTTGAACCATTTCCATTAAATAGCATTAATGTTTGCTTGTTTCCAACTATTTGGTAAAGTCCCTGATTCTAAAGATTTATTAAATAATAGTTTGAGTGGTAAATTCAGAGAGGAACTTAGCTTTTTAACAATTTTAGGGATAACACCATCAGGACCTGGTGGTTTATTAACATTAAGACTATTCATTTGGTCAGAGACAATCTTGTTGAGTGATATGGATATTTGTTAGTGAAAATGGGGTGAAATGTTGTGCTGTTTGAGGGAGTTCAAGGTCAGGTGATGATGTAGAGATATTAGTAAAGTGACTGTTTAGGATTTCAGCTTTATCAATTGGATGGTGAATGACCTGATTGTTAGATTCATCAATAGCAGACGTGATATATATGTTAACGTTGTAATTACTTACCCGAGAAGGAGTGAGTTAATGTCAAGACTGCGCTATTTTTCCTATCAGAGCGCAGGTATACGAAGTAGTATCCATCGTGAGCTTGTTGTGGTCCTGTCATCTCACCACTGGATGCATCCTATTGAACGTTTTAAACAAAAGTCGAGTTATATTAAACGTATACATCAGAAACGTATTAAACGTATACATCAGAAACGTATTAAAGAAACGTATAAAACGTATACATCAGAAACGTATTAAACGTATACATCAGAAAAGTATTAAAGAAACGTATAAAACGTATACATCAGAAAAGTATTAAACGTCATGACAAAAAAGGGGAACATTTCTTTATTGTAAATCGTTATTAGTTCTTTTGACATTTAAGTGTTTTAAAGATAAGAAAAATTATATATAATCACGCAAGTTTGTTATAACCATATATATACATTGTATGTACTAAGTTTGTATAAAGTAACAACATGAACGTGCGTCTGTGAAAGCGTTATCATCATATAGGCATTACAAAAATATAAACGAAGTATTGAAATAACCAGGTTATTATCAACTCACCTTTTTTCTTCTCCATCTATTTCCCCCAGTACTGACGCAAGGGAGATAATTGATTTCAAACGTGCAGATCAATATTTTATCTAAAACATATAATACTTTCTATAAATGACTATAATAAAAAATCTATTGTACCGAAATAATGGCAACATCTCATACTTCAAATATATATGATAATACATATATACATATAAACGGGTCAAAGAGGTCATAAGAACGGTAGCTTCTCAAACAAAACTGGATCCTTGCAGACATATATTTGTAGGATACGAATTACTTAGAACGTTATATTGGGGTAAGGAACTTATTCTTACAGTGGGGACAATATGATGCTGTCAAATTTTCGGAGCAGTCCGCTCCTTTATCGAGACACATAAAAATACAAAACATATGATTGCATAAAAAACAATATAAGAAATATAATTATATGATAATATATATGTTTATATGGAGGTAACGACAAAAACAGAAATACTTCAAATTTGATCCTTAACTCTATTGCATCGGCACTATATGATAACGTTAATCGTCCAAACGGCACACTGTAACAGCTGTACCTCTATATAATGGTCAGGTTGATGACGTCATTAATGACCTTTGATTCGCTATGATTAAAAAGATTTAAATATTTTCCTTTATGTGTTTCTTCCATAAATTACAATTACCACCTCAGACATGTGGAAAAAGCTCACAGAATGACAGACACTCAATCTTTAATTCTCTTAGATATTTAAGGGGGTTGAAGACTTTGTTGAATACGAGAGAAAAGCCTTTGTAAGCTAGATCGATCGTAGTTAGCTCAGTAGGTAAGAGCGTTCGGTCCGTCTAGAGTTTAGAGGTCCAAGATTCAAAAAACCAGTTTGGCATTTCAACTGAAAGTCAACCTGGAAGATGATCTACTTCTATGAAGGTCCGTAGATACTATTACATGTAATGGTGTCCTTCGTGTTTGTGTCATGTGTCTGTCTGTTTCTGTGTATTTGTCTTTCTTTCTGTCGGTAAGATTCTATCTCTGCTTCCATGACTCTTAGTGTCCGTGTCCTTATATCATGCTGTCTATATGCGTCTTTATTTCTTTTTTTCTCTTCTGTTTTTCTCTCTCTTTATCACTCTGCCGCCTTCTCTCTCTTTTCCTATCTTTGTCTCCCCACATCCTTATGCCTCCTTTGAGCTTTCTCTCTGTTACTGTTTCCTTTTATATCTCCCTATAGCTGTATCTCTTTCTTTCTTCTCTTTCCCTGTGTCTATCGCTCTCCTCTGATGATCGCCCTTCCTTTCTCTGTCAGTCATTGTGTATTTGTGTGTCTCTCTCTCCTTATCCCTGTGTCTATCGCTCTCCTTTGACGCTCGCCCCTCCTGTCTCTGTCAGTCATTGTGTATTTGTGTCTCTCTCCTGATCCCTGTGTCTATCGCTCTCCTCTGACGCCCCCCCCCCTCCTGTCTCTGTCAGTCATTGTGTATTTGTGTCTCTCTCCTGTTCCCCGTGTCTATCGCTCTCCTTTGACGCCCCCCCTTCCTGTCTCTGTCAGTCATTGTTTATTTGTGTCTCTCTCCTTATCCATGTGTCTATCACTCTCCTCTGACGCTCGCCCCTCCAGTCTCTGTCAGTCTTTGTGTATTTGTCTCTCTCTCCTTATCCATCTGTCTATCGCTCTCCTCTGATGATCGCCCCTCCTTTCTCTGTCAGTTATTGTGTATTTGTCTCTCTCTCCTTCTCCATGTGTCTATCGCTCTCCTTTGACGCCCCCCCTTCCTGTCTCTGTCAGTTATTGTGTATTTGTCTCTCTCTCTCCTTATCCATGTGTCTATCGCAGTCATTGTGTATTTGTGTGTCTCTCTCTCCTTATCCATGTGTCTATCGCTCTCCTCTGACGCTCGCCCCTCCAGTCTCTGTCAGTCTTTGTGTATTTGTCTCTCTCTCCTTATCCATGTGTCTATCGCTCTCCTCTAATGATCGCCCCTCCTATCTCTGTCAGTCATTGTGTATTTGTGTCTCTCTCCTTATCCATGTGTCTATCGCTCTCCTCTGATGATCGCCACTCCTGTCTCTGTCAGTTATTGTGTATTTGTGTCTCTCTCCTTATCCATGTGTCTATCGCTCTCCTCTAACGCTCGCCCCTCCAGTCTCTGTCAGTCTTTGTGTATTTGTCTCTCTCTCCTTATCCATGTATCTATCACTCTCCTCTGACGCTCGCCCCTCCAGTCTCTGTCAGTCATTGTGTATTTGTCTCTCCCTCTCCTTATCCCTGTGTCTATCGGTCTCCTCTGACGCTCGCCCCTCCTGCCTCTGTCAGTCATTGTGTATTTGTCTCTCCCTCTCCTTATCCCTGTGTCTATCGGTCTCCTCTGACGCTCGCCCCTCCTGCCTCTGTCAGTCATTGTGTATTTGTCTCTCCCTCTCCTTATCCCTGTGTCTATCGGTCTCCTCTGACGCTCGCCCCTCCTGCCTCTGTCAGTCATTGTGTATTTGTCTCTCCCTCTCCTTATCCCTGTGTCTATCGGTCTCCTCTGACGCTCGCTATTTGTGTCTCTCTCCTTATCCCTGTGTGTATCGCTCTCCTCTGACGCTCGCCCCTCCAGTCTCTGTCAGTCTTTGTGTATTTGTCTCTCTCTCCTTATCCATGTATCTATCACTCTCCTCTGACGCTCGCCCCTCCAGTCTCTGTCAGTCATTGTGTATTTGTCTCTCTCTCCTTATCCATGTGTCTATCCCTCTCCTCTGATGATCGCCGCTCCTGTCTCTGTCAGTCATTGTGTATTTGTCTCTCCCTCTCCTTATCCCTGTGACTATCGGTCTCCTCTGACGCTCGCCCCTCCTGCCTCTGTCAGTCATTGTGTATTTGTCTCTCCCTCTCCTTATCCCTGTGACTATCGGTCTCCTCTGACGCTCGCCCCTCCTGCCTCTGTCAGTCATTGTGTATTTGTCTCTCCCTCTCCTTATCCCTGTGTCTATCGGTCTCCTCTGACGCTCGCCCCTCCTGCCTCTGTCAGTCATTGTGTATTTGTCTCTCCCTCTCCTTATCCCTGTGACTATCGGTCTCCTCTGACGCTCGCCCCTCCTGCCTCTGTCAGTCATTGTGTATTTGTCTCTCCCTCTCCTTATCCCTGTGACTATCGGTCTCCTCTGACGCTCGCCCCTCCTGTCTCTGTCAGGCTCGCACCTCCTGTCTCTGTCAGTCATTGTGTATTATCGCTCTCCTCTGATGATCGCCCCTCCTGTCTCTGACAGTCATTGTGTATTTGTCTCTCTCTCCTTATCCATGTGTCTATCACTCTCCTCTGACGCTCGCCCCTCCAGTCTCTGTCAGTCATTGTGTATTTGTCTCTCCCTCTCCTTATCCCTGTGTCTATCGGTCTCCTCTGACGCTCGCTATTTGTGTCTCTCTCCTTATCCCTGTGTCTATCGCTCTCCTCTGATGACCGCCCCTTCCTGTCTCTGTCAGTCATTGTGTATTTGTCTCTCCCTCTCCTTATCCCTGTGTCTATCGGTCTCCTCTGACGCTCGCCCCTCCTGTCTCTGTCAGTCATTGTGTATTTGTCTCTCTCTCTCCTTATCCCTGTGTCTATCGCTCTCCTTTGACGCCCCCCCCTTCCTGTCTCTGTCAGTTATTGTGTATTTGTCTCTCTCTCTCCTTATCCCTGTGTCTATCGCTCTCCTCTGATGATCGCCCTTCCTGTCTCTGTCAGTCTTTGTGTATTTGTCTTTCTGACTTTCTCTACCCCTCAAATGATATGATTTAATTTAAATACTCACCACACGCGAATGGAAGTAGTTCAATGTCGTCTAAGGCAATATCACCCTTTTTATTTGTAGCTTTCCCGACAATCGTCAGCTGTAAGCAAATAATAACGATAACACCGACACTAAGTGACAAATGCTAGCAACATTAATGTCAGAAATAAGTTAAATGAACGGCTTTTTACCACAGAAAATTATATTGAAGAGAGATTAGTATTGTTTTTGTACAAAAGTGCTGTTTAATTCAATAAGATTTGAGAAAAAAACGTTTGATAATAGGTTAAAACACACTTCCGCCGTAATAGTTGTCGAAAATTGTTCCAGCTTAATACAGTTTAATTGTCATGACAATATTCTCAAATAAAACTGTATACATAAAAGTTCTTCTTTGCATTGAATGACAGTTTCTTGGGCCGATTACTTTTATTATAAAATAAAACGTTATCGTTTTCGTGCACATCATTGTTATTATATAATTTACAAATATACTTAAGCAGGTATGAAAGTTATTTAAGTGAATGAGTTGTCTAATCTTGCACTGTTTTATGATATCACTTCTCAGTGCAGCGGCTGATATGGACAGCTTTTAAGCATGTGTAATGATCTTCATTTTGCCCTCTTGTAATCATAAATACCACTATAGTTCACGAAAATATGGATAAGTACACATGCAACGAAACATGCAAGTCATGACGCATGGTTTGACACATGTACATGCAATGCAAATTTTACATTTCCAAATACGTGTATGCGTAATCGTAAGTTGACAATGCGTGCAACAAGTCTCCGAAAAAGATACAATGTTGTACACTGCTTTTGATTACAAGGACGACACCGACCTCACACGTTCTATCAACCAATCGACGAGCCAGATACAGTGAGTGAAACGCTGAAACAACCGTTCGGTTTGTAGGCGTGTTCTTTTTGAATACGGCTTGTTGACGCCGTAACGATTTTGATTGTAATTATGAAGACTCAGCAGAAAGGTAAACGAAACTTTCAGGGATGTGGTTCCTTCTATGAAGTAAGTACAACAGTGCTGTTTAAAAAGTATTTAAATTATAAATATCTATATATTCTGTTTTGAATATGTAAACTTAAGGATTTATCGACGATCACGAGTTCAATGCTGAAGGTAGCACTAGACCCTTTCAATCGGGCTACGCCTAATGGGTATTTTGGGCCAATATTCGACAACCAAGCAATATCCTCGTGGTCTATCCTGTAGAAACAACACTATTTCGTGGATGCAGCGGTCTTTGTCCAGTTTGGTCCAGACGATTCAACACATGGTTGATTGTCCTTGCACTCAAACCAAGTTGTCGTAAAACTTGTCGTTGCAACACTTTTGCATGGGCCATGCCAACAGCCCTTTTCCCTCTTAACTTGTGACAGCCGCGGCATAACAGGAATAAATATTGGTGATACCATTTTATGAGTTTGCAGTCGTCGCGGGTAGAATAATTGCATTTGTGTTTTTTGACCAGTCACTGGTGTTATTCACGAGTTATTTGCACACACGCACGAGAAGCTTGATAGCTACTGTTTACTTTCACGTTTGATTTTAACAAAAATGAGTGACGTGATAGGTATTCCACTCCAAAGACCTTCCGGAAACAGACAAGTCCTTAATATATGTAAAGTTGGTAGATGCAAGAGTAGTATAGGTCACTATAAAACAACCTTAATCAGTATTCTATATTTAGAAGGGAAAACATGGAATAGAGTAAGTATTTGGTAAACAAACTGTTGATATACATTTAACATATATATACCTCTGTCTCTGGCGTGGTTGCAACATCTATTGTTTTTGTAAACCATCTATCTTTTTTATTCCCGTTTTTTTTAAACAAGACCGCATTGTCGTTCATCACAGCAAGCGATTGTACATCTTTTCCGTTCATCATATAATTTAGGACAAGACACTGTGTCATCGCTATGAAAAAAGAAAATGAATTAAAAAATAAAAGATGATTATTTGCTTATAAAATGAAACAAACAGTTCTGAAAGGTACCTGCAATAGTTAAAGGAAGCAATATAAACACTTCGTTAGCTGTGGTAATGTATTATACCCTGACACATGCGTGTCAATATATATTACACGTACCAATATACTTATATATATATAAGATCTTAAATGAGTATTCATGTCATATGTGCTTTGATGAAACGAGTCTTAGGTGTTTTTATTTTTGCGAGCCTTGGCGAGCAATAATTAAAACTTCGAGACAAATTTCATAAAAGCTCATATAAAATGAAAACAAATTTAAGGTACTTTTTATCACATAACTCAGAAAACATACATTTTGACAGGTTTTAAAGCCAAAATATAGAGGGCTCAATCAAACGGAGACAGCCATTTTGTTGCGTAATTTACAATTAATGACGTCACGTCATTGTCCATATTATCATGTCACAATCGATATCTGACTGGCACAGCCAATGAAAAATGCTCCAGGGTATATTACACTAGTGACATATATAAAAATATTACACGGGCGAATTCACTGGATAACAGGCCGATTATGTGGTAAATATATATACATATATGTATGTATAATTTTGAAGAATATCCTCGATAGATGGAAGCGCTAATGACATGTTGTTGAAAGTTTTCTTTTTATATTATTTATTTGTCCGTAAGGACCAATTTACTGCTATTTATTGAAACATTCACGCATTTCATTGAATTTTCATTTCAAAATTCAATTCAAATTATTGTATACATCGTGTATGTTTTGTTCAAAATCAAAACAACCATTTGTTTTAGGAAATGCCAGTATATTCTTAGCTGATAAGGATTCCATCCTAAAGTTGGTAGGGTTACGCAGTTTCGATACCACAAAGCTTTAGCTATGTAACAATTTAGAACAGTGAGTACATCAGATTATATCTATATTTAGAACAGTGAGTACATCAGATACTATCTATATTTAGAACAGTGAGTACATCAGATACTATCTATATTTACCACTTAAATCCGTTTCTAATTGGAGCGTAGACGTTGTGTTTTTATTCCGTCGTCCATCTGTACGGAAGTATCCTTCACCTTCATAAGCTCTCAATGGTCCAGTCCCATTTTGTTGTGTAGGACCCTATACACATTGAAATCATCTACAGGGTATTATTATAAGCTCTCAATGGTCCAGTCCCCTTTTGTCGTGTAGGACCCTATACACATTGAAATCATCTACAGGGTATTATCATAAGCTCTCAATGGTCCGGTCTCCTTTTGTCGTGTAGGACTCTATACACATTGAAATCATATACAGGGTATTATCATAAGCTCTCAATGGTCCAGTCCTTTTTTGTCGTGTCATTTTTTCTCTCTCCGATTTTGATTTTAATGAAAAGCAAGGAAAATTGAACAGCTTGTACGATAGCGTTAGTGAAATTTACTGGGATAAAGTGTGTTAGAATCAAAAGACGTATAAAATTATCAGGGAATAACTACTTCCAATAGAGAACACTTTATGACGTAAATGCATTACACTACTGAAGATAACTGACTTTCCAAATATGTCTCTTTTTAGTCGGGCAGTGCCATATACGGAGGTGCATCCCTAGATTCAAACTTTTAATAAACAACTTAATACAATGATTAACAATTCTTGCTATTGGAAGGAAAGTGATACTTATTTAATCCTAATAATGTTTTTGTTCAGGTTTTAGAACTCTACAGTTCCTCTGTTCGATAAAGTACTTACCGTTTGAACTGTCCATCGATCAGTTGCTGAGGTGGGATTGACGAAGGCGCATGTAGCTCCATTTTCGAAAGTGCACTTGACTGATGGTTAGTATTGCAAAGATAGACATTAGAAAACTATAAACAAACACCAACTCATGGCATGTCTAAACCAATGCCAAGTATTAACCGATACAACACCGCGGCTATCTCGAGGATTGACTTATGGAATGAATATTGGTTTTTGTCAAAGGAGTTGGTCTTGGGACAAAACTCTTTAAGGATGTACTCTTTTGCAGTTTAAATCACGTTCAAGTCTTGTTTTGATCTCGGGTAACAGGTTTTTGTTATAATAAACAAACTATGATCAATTCTAAAAGCAAACACGCATCTGAAAAATGTGTCAAAAATTAGATGTCTGTTGTATATAGATTTTTCACAAGAATTAAAAAAAGCAATTCGGCAGATAATTTGAAAATGTCTATTTCTTGCACTTCACTACCTCACGAAAGGCCAACATTACACATTTTTTTGCCACAAAATGTATCACTAAAAGCGTCGTGTGTGTCGCGATTTTTAATTATAGCAAGTTCGTCATTATTGGATTTGTTTTACATATTTAGTGAAACTGTAGCGTGTTTAAATTTTGATTAAATGAAAGAGAAACAACTTTTCTTTTGATCTATTTAATATATAATAAAGGTTTAGTAGCAGAGTTGTGTATATCAAGCGTTAACTCTGCAAAATGGTTAAAAAAATAGCATTTTCGCTTTTCTGACTTAGAGAAAAAATTTAAGAATGTTGCTTCCATAATTTAAAAAAAACAAACACTATTATTATCAATTCTGCAAACATTCGTTCATTTTTGATAACACTTGGAGGATATTGTATGAATTTGTTCTGCAAATGGTCAAAACCAAAAACCTCACGTAAACCACATATTATGTTAAAAATGGTATCTGACCGATCATAGCACATAAACGAACACACGGTCATATAATTTTTAGCTCACCTGGTCCGAAGACCATGGTGAGCTTATGCAATACCACAGCGTCCGGAGGATCCTTGGGCAAAAGGGACTTAATTTGGTATATACAGTGAGTGTGGACTCCGTGGGGACAGAAGGGCGGGACCCAATAGGGGAAACATAGCAAATTCTTCAAAATCCTTCTTCTGTAGGAATAACAAGATTTTGTCCAATTTGGTATGAACGGTGTGTCTGACCCCCTAGAGGGCAGAGAGGCGGGGCCTAATAAGGGATATAGAGGAATAGCTTTAATATCCCCTTTTCTTCCGTTAGGATGAAGGTATTTTGACCAAATTTGAACAGTAGCATCCTATGGGGAAGGAAAATCAATTTTGTGTAAATGATGTGTCTGACCCCCCTGAGGCCTGGGAGGTGTGGTCAAATAGAGGTAATTTAGCAAATTCTTGAAAATTCTTCTCCTGAAGGAATAACAGGATTTTGTCCATATTTGGTCTAAAGCATCTTTTGGTGAAGGGGACTTTATTTTGTATAAACGGTGGGTCTGTCCCTACTTGGGGAAGAGGGGCAGGAACCAATAGGAAAAACATAGCTAATTCTTCAAAACCCTTCCTCTTCTATAGGAATGACAGGATTTTGTCCAAATTTGGGATGAAGCACCCTTGAATGAAATGAAATCCGGGTACTCCGGTTTCCTCCCACACTAAGACCCCCGCGCGTTAACATCCGGGCCAACGAGAGTGATTAATATAAGTTGACATAACTTGTTTCATAATTGTTGTAAAATAAATAAAGTTTAATGAAGGGTACCAATTTTGTATAAACGGTGGGTCTGACCCTCCTTTTAGGGCAGTAAGGCGGGCCCAATAAGGGATATAGAGGAATAGCTTTAATATCCATCCGTAAAGGTATTTTGACCAAATTTGAATAGTAGCATCCTATTTGGAAGGGAAATCAATTTTGTATAATAGTTGGGTTTGAACTCCCTGGGGGCAGAGGGGTAGGGCCAAATAGGAAAAATAGAAAAATAGCTTTAAAATCATCCTTCTTCTGTCGGAATGACATTGGGTGACGACGACCTGATTTTGTATCAACGGTGGGTCTGACCTCATTCGGGGCAGAGGGGCGGGTCCCAATAGGGGAAACAGCAAATTCTTCAAAAAACTCCTTTTCCTGTAAGAATGACAGGTTTTTGTCCATTTACATATAAATATAACCCCTGACTAACCATGTAACACATGTACACTACCAGCAACATGTAGCTATTCCAACTTCAATTTTGCTTACATTTCCTGGTGAGCGATACATGCCATCTGGACCTCTTATTTCTGTATTTTCTACTATGCCTTTATCTCCTTATTACACAAATAAAAATCACAAAAAAAGTTTAAAACAGGAATTTCGACTTCGCTTAGGCGTAGATCCTTAACGGAGAAGTTGCTTACGATGATTCTATTTTCGTGATTAACTCAATTGATCACTCTATGCTATCGATTGAAACTTTTTGAAGACAATATGTCGTTTGTACTCTGATCAAATGATCAATTACTCTTCTGACTTACAAGGAAAACCCCATTGTAAACTGTTTTAAAAATGTAGGTATAATAAGTATAAGATATGGTAGAGCTTCCTATAGAATGTGAGATAACAATGGCTGTAATGTAATTGTAGCACTGTGTTACATGTGCACGCGTAAAATACAATGTTAATGAATAGTGCGGCACTGTACAGTAAACGGAGGGGGAATGATGGATGGAATGTCAAAAACGAACAAACGGTTATTGTAAAGAAAACATTGAAAAGTATAAAATTATACAAATTGTGCATTCAAACAGAGAATGAAATAAAAATATACACAAACTAATTAACTAATTGATGATACAAAACATTAAGATCCGACAGATCACCGGTACAGATTGCGTCTAACACTGCAGGTTTTCTAACAATGCCAGTGCATCACCTGTTAATTTTATATATTTTGCCAGCAGTTCAAAGTTGCCTACTACAAGTAAGTTTCCTCCCTCTGTATCTACTATCCGACAGAAAGTACAGAAATACAAAATATGTAAATAAGCGAAAAGCATAACAAAATACTTGAGTTCCCATGCCATTCTCAACAATTCTCTAACGTTTTTTCTCGAGTCACTTTATTAAAGACTTGTTTTTGTTTCCAATTGTTTTTTTTTATTAAGGAATAGCGATTGTAGTAAACCGTAAACACACTAATTTTAGCGCACTCAAATTTTAGCGCAATATCGAATTTTAACACATTGGTAGATTAATAGATTTGTGCAACTGCACAATACTTGTAGTCGAAATCAATATTCAGGAATTTAAATTGGAACTTTTAGAACTAAGTAATATATTTAAAACTCGACAAGAACTTAAGTACGACCAACGCTAAACTCTGTTTATTTGCAGTTTATGAATATATTTCCGAAAACAAATTAAGTTCATTATGAAAAGTTACCTACATTGATTAAATATATCTTCAAAGGTAAATATTACTGCTTTCACAAAGCAATGGGGAGTAGTCTACGTATCTTTAGGATTCGCAACAATTATAATATTCCGTGCCAGGAAATCTCCTTTTGAGCAATGTTGATAACCCTCTTTAGACTATTTCAAAACGTTCTAGAGACAAAATCGTGACCCACACATATCTGTAATTGAATCTTGTGGTAAAACATATGGTTTCTAATAGAGTAATGACACCACAGATTAATGCAGAATCCTCTTTTTACTTACCATAATCGTATCTTATGTTTTTTTTATGCCGCTACATAACGGCAGTAAATGACTAAACATTTTACGTAATAGCGCTTACGCTTACTGAAGTAGCGATATCAATCAAATATTTGAAATTCAAAAGTTTTTGTTAAATTTTCAAATGCCATTGAATTGCCAACGATGTTACAAATATTCATTACAATGACGAATGTCTCAATACATTTTTATTATACCACCATTTCTCATTCTAGACTTAAACATAGTCTCAAAGGTCTAGTTTATAAGTGTATCGTATGTAATGTTTACAACCGGCAAATTTCAGGTACAAATATTTTTTTTCTGTCACAAGCGACGTTCAAAAACAAATAAATAGAAACTACACACAAATTAAGAAATTCCAATGTTCAGTGTTTTTTCTTGTTATAAGACACTTAAAAAAATACTGACTGTTTCTTTTGAATTTTAAATATAATATAACCTCTTGGTATTTAAGCGTTCTTGTCTGCACCAAAAGTCTAAATTTGAGACATGATATATGTATTGTTGAGACATCAGTTCGTTACTGCGTCTATCAGATTTGTGGAATGTGATGTTAAGTCCAGTCATGATAAATTTATACATTAAACCCCATTATATATTTGGACAAATCGGTTAGATATATTGTTATTAACATATGTCTATATAAACAGTAAGTTGCTTATAATATTAAGCAATATTTCAACTTATATGAAATGTGCTTGAAAATGTATTTTTAATTAGCGTAAGTGGTTTGTTAATATAACAAATGGTGGTGGAGTGCTGCACTCATATCACATAACTCAATGTGTAGAGATAATCCAACAAACAACGCCAAGCTGATCAGCCGGAGAAAACAAATAAGAGAAAACCCAAGAAGTCGAATAATGCCACCTTTTTCATTGCATGAGTCAGGAATGCAAAAAACGTTTTGAGTCACAATTTTCATTTTAAAACTTCAAGTTTTGTGCGAGACCTAAAGGTATATTATTGACCATAACAAGTAAGCAGGGTTTGAAGAAAATATGAATATAAAGATATTGACGAAAGAATGAAAAAATACCCCGCAACAACTAAAACAAAGAAATAAAAAAAAACCCAAAAAAACAATAAAAATAATAAATTGCATTAAGTATAAATTATAAAGATATACATTTCAAACATATATATACGCAATGATTATAATAGTATTACACGGTTTTTGTCCTAGAAGTGACGTCACAGTTTACCCCGTTCTGGCATTGGTCCAAGACCAAACAACGATAAAAAGTTCAAGTTAGAAACTATGCTATTTATTGGCTTCTTTCGAAAAAAAATATCTTAATTGCAATATAGCATAACTAATCGAAATTTAATGCAGATGTATTGTACGATAACAGTATCAGGAATAAATATTATATAAATATATATATATATGAAACTAAGGTCAACTTTTTATTAAACCAATTTCTGTCAAAGTTATAATAATGGGAATACTAAATTGAATATTGTTTAATATGCGCTACCATTTTGAGCTGTGTAGTAAACATTTAAGCTTACGATTCTTAAATTGCTAAGGTCACTGAAACGATTACACAGAGAAACACCGTCAACCGAAAAAAAGGAGTTTGGAGATAAAAGTAAAATAGAGACCCGGGTTATGCATCTGAGCACCACATCAATTCTAGTTTCTTTGGAAATCTACCTTGATAGTGTAACTCATTTGTTTACAGTTGCAAATATGAAACACCTTTTAGTTTTGTTGTTCTTCACAAATTGTCACGTTCTTCAATAAACGATATATGCATAATGATGTAATAAAACCTATTGCATTGTTTTATAGCATGAAATGATTAATAGTCCTATTCACCCAGAAAGATTAGGACTCAGTTTTCCTGTTGGTGGACATCAAATTATTCAAAAGCAGAGTTCAGGGCTTCCGAAACATATAAGCCCAAAACACATTTATGTGCCTGTCTACCTAAAGTAACATTTTGAGACCACAAAATCAAAGATACGAAAAAGAGAAACTCCTGTATAAAAATATAGATACATACTTGAAATGTTTACGAGTATATGATACATATCATATGAAACGGAAATTTCAATTTTCTTACGTGTGGTTGAATCTTGTCATTTACTTATGTTATACTGTTCCTGAACATGTGTGAACAATAATACAGTTACGAGGACTTACCCGGTGCTGTTTCACAGATTGGGCCTGTAAAACCATTGATACAGTTACATAATGTCGCACCAGCTTCTGCGTCGTCGACAACACAATTTCCATCAGCACCACAATCAACGCCACTACAGGCATCCGTTTAAATTAAAAAAAGGTGTGTTTATACCTTAGTGGTCTATTGAAAAACTACGCTGATCTGATTGTATTAGCATTTGTCTGCAAATAAATTCAACATGACGACGGAAGTTTAAAGGAATTTTTGTCTCTATTTCGTCTACACTGAGGCTTAACTCAGGTACCGTATGTGATGCAATTGGGATCCAGTGTGTTCCACTGTTGGCGGTGTAGGGTATATTTTACACTGGGCGAATAAGAACTCTGCCGGTGAAGGACGAAAGTTTAAGGGGCGAAAGTTTCCCGGTATACAGTATAAAGATACAACCAGCTACTTACGTGGTGTTTCACAGTAGGTCCCGGTGAAGCCACCGATGCAGTTACACAATAGTGTCCCACTCGATTCATCACATATTCCACCATTGTGACATAAAGGGAATGATAGAGGTGCACAGGTAGCTAATGGAAAACGGAACAAAGTATACCTTAACAGCAATACAAAGACAAAACCATAACTCAATGTTTGTTTTTCTTCATGATGTAATGCATAATGTACAAGAACAAAATTCAGAACCGATTCATAATGACATCGTATTTTTTTCAGCATGGATTACCGAAACAAGACTTAAGAGTGTATTTATAAAAAGAACCAATCAATACGGAATAGCATGGTTCTTCAATATTTAAATGATCTCCATGATATAAAGAAACAGCAATTAAATAGGAGGAATAATGCTAGGAGAAAATGTATGATATTGTAGGAAGTCCTTGATAGGTTTATCATCCTATAAAATAAATAAAGTCTTCGCAAGTTTGAAAAATATAATTAAAACAATTAACTGGATACGATATCACTATATTTCTAAACTATTTTGATATTTCGGTTTCTTTCGCATACGCAATACAAAATGTTAAAACAACTGATCTATGGCTATGTCTTCTTTGAAATAAGACAAAAAGAAAACAAGGTAAATATTGTATACAAATCAAAATATATGATAGATATATGAAATAGTTCAAGAAATTCGCTGCGCTTGCATTAACTGACAAAAGTATATGCTAATGGTATTTCCACCAAACACTATGTTTTTTCTCAATCCCGCCGCGATCAATTAACCTGTTAAATCTTAGTAAACATTGATGTTTACCCACTTGTAAGTAATTTCTAGGACGTTGTTTCATTGGACTGGTGTTTTAAGAATGACGTCATGTTCTGGGATATTATTTTCCATTTTGAAACTACTTGTTAATGAAGTTGTATCGTAATCATCATTGCCTTATTTTCAGATGAGTTTTATATGTTTAACCTATAAAAGTCGTGTTCAAAGCAAAAAACAACAACAATTAGGATAAATAAAATTCGCAAAACAATAGCAAAAGCAAACTAAACACCTTCGAAGTAAAACCTGATGATACAACCAGTTGATAAAACATTATAATTTATATTTATATGTCTTTACTTTATCATTACATGAACACAATTACGTATTCATGCATCGCATCGCAATGTTCCATATTCGGTTTGTCTTTTAGTGAATCTGTGAATGAATGAGTAATTGGCCTGTTTACCCGTGAACTGATGAGACGAAATCGTACTGCTTATGCCTTTTCTTTGTATTCACGCGACTTAGGAAAATATCGATAGAGCGTGAATTCACTTTGTTGAATGGCTATTAATTAAGTTGTCTATCTAGATCATAGACGTACCATTACTGCATGGCCCCGGGCTGATCAGTATATTGGATACGGCAGCTGCTCCGAGGTAAATAGTAGCTGAAAAACTTATCTACAACAGTATGTAAAGAACAGTCATTATACCAAAACTATATATAAATCAGAAATATGTGATAGCTGTTAATTCGTTATCGAATAGACATTTAACCAACAGTGAGAAGAAAGGCAATTTGTAAGACACAAAACCCAATCAAAGAGCCCGGTTACAACGTTAAGATTAGACAACTTGATATCGTTTAAGTTTCAGCGTATGCATATCTAAACTACGGCATATATAACTGACCGGTAACTTGTTGATGTAAATATGATGTTGAACCTGTTGACAACGTGACCTCGTTCTTTCATTCTTTATTCGGTTGAAAGGCAAAACTCATATCATGATAATATAAATCCTATTAGTAGAATGTATATTTGTCAAAATAAGACAGCAATGTACAGAATAGATATTTATCATAATAAGTCAGCAGTGTACAGAATAGATATTTATCATAAAAAGTCATCAATGTACAGAAAAGATATGTATCATAATAAGTCAGCAATGTACAGAATAGATATTTGTCAAAATAAGTCAGCAATGTACAGAATAGATATTTATGAAAATAAGTCAACAATGTACAGAACAGATATTTGTCAAAATAAGTCAGCAATGTACAGAATAGATATTTATCAAAATAAGTCAGCAGTGTACAGAATAGATATTTATCATAAAAAATCATCAATGTACAGAAAAGATATGTATCATAATAAGTCAGCAATGTACAGAATAGATATTTATCAAAATAAGTCAACAATGTACAGAACAGATATTTGTCAAAATAAGTCAGTAATGTACAGAATAAAAAATTATCAAAATAAGTCAGCAATGTACAGAATAGATATTTATCATCAACATATAGAGTGTAATCTGTATCATAGAAATGATATTGAAAACAATCAGGTTCAATATGTTTATTAATATATGTAATAACATATTCAACATCCCCTGGTTTATTTTCGATGTTGTATCACTAAGGAGAGCTACAACAAATTGTAAGCATGAATTCCGAATTAATATAAGGGCCATGTCAGGTAACAGCAGGTTTGGACAGGCGTGTATACCAAACAAGGTAGACAGAAATGTGACGCCTGTCAGATGGAATGTAATCATTTATTCTTTTGCTAATAACATGCACAGCATGGCAGCTTTTATTTCAAAGAGGCATGGTAGTCAAGTGGTAGGACGCCGGGCTCGTGACCTAAGGATTGCGAGTCACGTCGTGGCACTGTGTTGTATCTTTAAACGAGAAACTTTACCCCGCTTGTTCCAGTCTACTCAGCTGTGAATGAGTACGTGGTTAGGAAGTGCTATAATTGTAGAATGGTAGCTGTGAGCGCCGAAACGGCAGCACCGGCTGTATGCTCCCCAGGGAGTAGAGAAAGATATTGACTGGCTGAGAAGGCCCTATAACCACGGATAATAATTTGTGAACCGCTTTTAGACGACCTACGAACTAGGTTGTGATAAAGCGGTATATAAGAAACTCGAATTATTATTATTATTATAACTTTAACGACATATCAAAAGTACGGAAGTAAACGTGGTCGTTGCCTTCTTATTCAACACGTTAGCTTACACTAACGTGATGAATCTTTTTCTGTTTTATAGTCGTCATCATAACTCTCCGAGAAATATTCTATTTCCTTGTGCATTATGAGGATTGTTTAAGAGTATTCTTATTATGAAAAGGTTACTAAAACAAATAAAATATTCAACTTGAAAAAAATGTTCATAAATACTTTCATGTTGCATCAACGGAAAACAGTTAATACAGACAACATAAAACATAATCATTTCCATTTGATAAAGAGGTTGGGTTATGCATACAACAAAAGGGGGATAACACCAGACACTTTTAATGTATTGACTTTATTTATTTATTTATTTTTAATCACAATGTTAAGTATCCTAGCGAATGAATTTTCTCAACTTGAGGGACTTCCGGTTTTGAGATTGTTGGGTGAGCATGGCATACATGAGGAGCTCCATAAAATATTGTTAACGTCAGCCTTTCAGCCCGTATAAACTACTACGTCAGCACCAGTACCTGGTTCCAGTGCAAATGTAACATTGTTAACTCAGTAACAAGAACAATTTGTGTTGTTTACGCCTCAAAAAGACTATTTGTATCGTGCCTACCCGCCCACCTGCTCTAGCTATACACGTGTGTAATATCTTTGTGTGTACTATCATGGCTATGGAGGTCGACCCCAGTAAAAAAGCTGAATACCAAGTTCTGGTCGACTCTTATAAACATAAAGACATAGCGGAGTGCTTCGCCAATATGCACTTCAGTTTCAATCTCGAGGTTGATGATATTAAAAGCAGTGTTAAAGAGCTCGACAAACATGTCATCCAATTGGAGAACTTCGCCACTCATGCTAACCAGGCTCTTGGCAAACTATAACCGGCTATGAGTACTGAAATAGCCAGTGAGGCACATGCACGTTTGAAATTAGACATATGGGGGCGCAAATGGAACCTGGTGATTAAAGGTATCGAGGTATCCGAGGGAAAAAAAACCAGGGAGAGAGTTAAAAAGGTCAAAGCATTTGTGTTAAAAGATCTCAAAATTGTGAATGAAACCGTTGAAAATATGACATTCCAGGCAGCACATCGACTAAAAGGGGGCCAGGAGGGAACAACAAACGTCATTGTGCGCTTCAGCAGCCTGATCGACAGGGATGAGGTGCTAGAGGCAGGTATGGGTCTCAAATCTGGATCGGGTTTTAGCGTGGTTCCAGACAATACCGAAACATCTAGATTACTGTGACGGTCAGTATGCGTGCCACGGACTTGAGCGCGCGTACGTGCCTGTGTCGTACGTGCCGAGGTGGTATAAATAGGACATTAACATGGAGAGGTCAACGGCTGGTGCTATACAGGTAAAATGTATGTGGGATTTTGTGTCTTACCGAGGTGTTGTGGTAAATTACTTTTCGGTGACATACGCCCGGTCTGGGTGATTTTTAAACGAAGTAAAGAAGCGTTTTGTGTGCTGATAAGAATCACGAGCTTTGCGTTTTACAGTAAATATTTTATGATTGGACAGTTGCTCATTGTCGCAAGATTGATCCAGACTGGCTGTTCTTATCGTACACATACGATGCTATGCTATTTCATACATGCATAACAATCCGGATTAGTGTGTATATATATAATTATGCAGGGCTGGGTTTTATTAGGTGGCATTGGCTCAGTAATACATTCGGTTTCCTTTTTTCTTCTTTAAAATTTGCTTGTGTTGCACAGTAAAGTTTAGTGTAATGTGTCATTGAGCTGATGACGCTGGTTTAACTGGGTCCAGATGTCAACTGATTATATTTTATTGTTAATTTACATGTTTCCAGGGTTGGAAAATACTAATTTCAAATTTGGAGAATCCTCAGCTCCTTATATTGGGCATATAAAGAGAATGGTCGAAAGGGAAGTTTTTCTACGGGGATTAGGGAACGGGGAATTTACTTTGATTGTTAAATATGCGTCTTTCATTTTCTTAGTCAATGTTAAGGTTTATTTGTTGAAGATACACACTGTCAATTTGCCATTTGATAATGGGTAGCATAAAAATAGGAAGCCTGAATTGCCGAGGTCTTGCAAGTAATGCAGTTAAAAGGCGTGATATTTTGCATAGATGTTGATCAAAATATGATATTACAATATTGACTGATACACACAGCGATGTTAATGTCGAAACACTCTGGCGAAATGAGTGGGGAGGTGATATAAAATTTGCGTCGTTTTCTTCACATAGTAGGGGCAATGCAATAATATTTAAAAACTCCTTCGCTTACAAGGTGGAAAATGAATACAAAGACCCCGATGGAAATTATTTATTATTGAACATCACAATTCAAGACGTAAAAATATATACGGCCCGAACAATAACTTCCAAGTTTTTTTCACAAACCTGCAAACTAAAATCGAATTGAATGGGAATGATACTACAATTATTGCGGGAGATTGGAATGTTGCCCTTGATTATGAAATATACACCGTTAATTATCGCAATCGTAATAATACAAAAGCTAGCATAGAAATCCATAATATGATGCAGAATCTTGATCTAGTCGATGTCTGGAGAGAATTAAATGTAGATGCCCGAAAATACACATGGTTTGGTCCTAATGGGAAAAAAAGTCGCTTGAATTATTTTCTGGTCTCCTCGGATTTACAAAATAATATTACAACAGCAGGTATGAATTTTGCTTACAAGTCAGATCATTCACCAATCAACATAGAATTGGAATTCATTAACCAACAACGCGGAAGAGGAACATGGAAATTTAATAACAGTTTACTAGGGGATACTGAATATGTAAATATAGTTAAGAATGTTATAAAAGACGTTATTGTACAATACAGAGTAGACGAAAATGACGATTTAGAAAATGCTGAATTTAGTATTAGCGATCAATTACTATGGGAAACTTTAAAACTAATGGTCAGGGGAAAAACGATCAGTTATTCATCTTTTAAGAAACGAGAACGCGGAAAACAAGAAAATGACCTAACAGATAAATTAAAAGAGTTATATAATCGAGACCAAACTGAGAACAACGCACAATTACTTAAAGATATTTCGGAAACGGAGGGTAAACTAAAAATATTTAGAAATAAAAAAATCAAAGGGATTATAACCAGGGCAAAGGTGCGATGGAAAATCGAAGGTGAAAAAATATCGAAGTATTTTTGTAATCTAGAAAAACGACAATACAACGAGAAAATGTTTCCAAAATTAATAACAGATGACGGACAAGAAGTAAACGATTTACATGAAATACTTAACCAGCAATTAACGTTCTACTCAAACCTGTATACAACAAAGGGAACTATGTTTAATGAAGAACACCAGGAAACTTTTTTAATGATAATAATCCATTCATAAATAAACTCACTGATGAGCAACGCGACTCTATGAACGCTGTTCTTAAGGTTGAGGAGTGTCTAAAAACTTTGAAAAATATGAATAATGGGAAGTCTCCAGGTTTATATGGATTCACCGTAGAGTTTTATAAGTTTTTCTGGATAGACATAAAACAATACATTTTAAAATCTCTTAATCAAGCATTTAGTAAGGAAGCAATGTCAATCAGTCAACGCCAGGGACTAATCAAATGTATTCCAAAACAAGGAAAATCAATACTGTACATAAAAAAATGGAGGCCTATTACGTTATTGAATGTGGATTATAAAATTGCAGCATCCTGTATTGCCAATAGAATTAAACAGACTCTGGTAGATATTATAAGTCAAAGTCAAGCGGGTTTTGTCAAGGGTCGTTATAAAGGGGAATGTACCAGGGTTATAAATGATGTTATTGAAAAATCAGAAGAAAATTATCAGTCTGGCATATTGCTAATGTTGGGTTTTGAAAAGGCCTTCGATTCTATTGAGTGGTCATTCATAGAAAAAGTTTGCGCTTCTTTGGCTTTAGTGATTACATTATAAATTGTTTTAAAACATTCTATTCTAATATCACAGCTTCTGTTAAAAATAATGGTCACCTCTCCACCTTTTTCCAAGTAACACGAGGAGTACGACAAGGAGATCCTCTGTCTCCATATCTTTTCATTATCTGTATTGAATTGCTGAGTGCAGCTGTAAAATATGATCCTGATATCAAGGGCGTAATCCTCAATAATTCTGAATACCTGATAAGTCAGTATGCAGGTGTGATTCAACATTGATACTCTAGGATGACCAAAAGTCTCTAGTTAAAGCGTTATATATGATCGACATCTTTGGAGAACCAATTTTGATAAATCCCAGGCTGTATGGATTGGGGTAAAACGGGGCTGCGGTGAGGAAATCGAAACAAAACAAAATTTATCCTGGAATCACCGAGGAAAATTCAAACTATTGGGAGTGAGATATGATTTATCCAAACACGATATTTATGAAGATAATTTTACGGAAAAAATAAAGTCAGTGGAATCACTTTTGTCTGATTGGTCATTTAGAAATCTCTCTATTATTGGAAGAGTAACTGTTGTCAAAACTTGAGCTTTTCAAATCATTGTACAGATACTGTCATTCCTAGTCCACCTGCTAAAATCCTTAAAAAGTTTCAAGTCCTGTTCTTTCATTTTATATGGAATAGTAAAATCGATAAACTTAAACGGAATCTCCTAATAGGCGATTTTAAAGATGGAGGTTTAAAGGTTCCAGATATTTTTTCTTATAGTAAATCTTTAAAGCTTATGTGGATAAAGAAATGTCTGGATCCAAACAACCATGCAGATTGGAAAAAGTTACTAATTGACGATATTGAAAATATTGGAGGAGATAAAATCTGGAGCTTAACAAAAAGTGGACTAGAAGAAATAGCTAAAAGATACAATTTTGGTAAATTTTGGAAAGAAATTTTATCAATTTGGGGAAATCTGGACGAGCCTCTCCCAGCAGCCCCTGAAAACGCACTCTCTCAGCCTCTATAAATATTAATGATGTTGCACATGATAATTCAAAGAAATTGAAAAATATTGAAAAACCGTCTAAATATTTTTATAATAAAATCATGTCTACTGTATTGATTTATCCGCAACAATCCCATGAAAGGTGGCACACTATCTTAGATATTTCTCTGAACCAAGACGAATGGGGAAAAATTCATTCATGTCCCTTTTACGAGACAAAAGACTCGAAATTACAAAGTTTACAATACAGAATCATTCACAGAATCTTTTTCACAAATTCCATGCTACTGAAGCGAAAACCATTAGAACATGAAGAATGCAGCTTTTGTAGTTGAGAATCAGAAACAATATATCACCTTTTTTTGGGTTGTACACATAGTCAATCGCTCTGAACATGTTTTATTAACTCGATTTTACAAAACTATGATATTGTTTTAGAGAAAAAAAATGCTACTTTCCTATTCAGCATCATTGACAATGTTCAACTGACGGGTTTAAACATATGCATACTACTGATTAAAAAATATATATCTTTAATGCGACAATACCACCAAATCCCTGACTGGGAAAGTTGTATTTTTTTTAAATTATAGAAATTTAGACCTATATTCTGTCTACATAATGTCTCAAAATGCAGCGAACAAGACCCGGCAGAAATGGGAAAGTATCAGGCCTATTCTAGAATGAACTACTAGTAATTAACTACTCGTTTATATTGTATTTCTTCTCCAGGAACCTTTGTAAACATGTAATGCACTTATGTGACTGACGCAATAAAAAAATGTCAAAGACAATTTTTTTTTCTCAACTTGAAGTCATTTTAGTGTATCAAGTGATGTCCGTCAATAGTAATGTACTTTGTGCCTGCGAAATAACAGCTACCGTCAATAAAAATCGGAGACTGACATCGCCTCATGGAAATAATCATAAATTAATCATTCCTTTTGCGTAAATCTGTATTGTTGCATTTGACATAACATAGCAGATTTTTACAAAATTGGATGAGAAAAAATGAGACAATCATTGTTTAGGTTTTGTACTATGCAAATCTTACTCTCGGATAAAGAATTTGAGCTCGAAACGTTGGCAAGCGTCTCTCCCTATTGCCCTTCAACATTAGGGAAAGGTATGATATAGGCTTTAAGTCTGTTGTTCAATCCTTTTGAATTTATACCATATATATTGTGCATGACATTTGTTGAAATCGAAGCAGTGATACATGTACCTACTGGAGTATTATGACCTTGCCATACCCCTTAAACCTTAATAATATAGCTTTTACTGATATCTTCGAACACTTTGTCTTATATATAAACGTTCCAAACATATGTGTAGCTATAATATTGTACCTTTTCCACATGCCGAGATAATGTAGCTTGCCTAGAAACGAAAAACCCATCAGTATCTTCCGTTTCCGACACCAACTTGACAGTCCCGTCCTTTTCAGTGTATGTTGTTTTCACTCTAACATTCGAGTTTTGGTCGTGAATGGCAGCCTCATCAAAGCTAAGACAGCGTACTGCATCTGTAAGATTGATCTCACTCTGTCAACTGGCATGATGGTCCTAAGTCTAAACTCTTGTAAAAGTGATGTTTATTAAATAATATAGGTATGACATGTAGAGCCAACAACTAGGCACTCCTTCCTGTTAAGTGATGGCAATGATAATGTTGGAGCATATATCGAGCACGGGAGATAACTCTAACTGATTCAAATTGTCCCTGGTGAAATTTCATGCTTCATCAAATTGCAATTTAATGCTAAAGCAATTCGTGATTACTCATTATTTTCTTAAACGTACTAAAAACATACTTTGAATTTAAATAGTATATCAATTCCCCGAAAATGTAGCTTAAGGAAGGTAGAAATCGGGCAGAATAACCAATATTTTCTACAGTCACCAACACGGTTTTCGAAGAGCCCGCTCCTGTGAGTCTCAGCTTTTGGAATTTACTGATGACATTTCTGCTAATCTTGAATCTGGTAAACAAACTGACGTATTAGTCATGAATTTTTCTAAAACTTTTGATTAGGTCTCACACTCACTACTGTTACTCAAACTCAAACATTACGGCATAACTGGTCGCACACACAACTGGATCCAATTTTTTCTTTACAAGCAGTTGTCCTTGAGGAAAAAAAATCTGGCTATGTTCCTGTGGAGTCTGGAGTCCCCAGGGCTCAGTTCTTGGACCTTTTCTTTTTCTGTACTATATAAATGATCTGCCATCTGGTTTAACCTCATCTGTTCGTTTGTTTGCTGACGACACTGTCGACTATCTTGCTATATGATCAACTTCTGACGCAAAAATCCTCCAGAAAGATTTTGATTTACTGGCATCATGGGAAACATCTTGGAAAATGGCATTCCATCCAGAGAAATGCAATGTAATATCCATCACGAAGAACAAAAAAGCAGTCAAACATAAATACACATTGCATGGCCATACCCTACAACACACTGAAAAAACACAAATACTTGGGCGTTACAATCAGCCAAGATCTTAAATGGGAACTCCATATACATAACATATGCAATCTAGCCAGGTCCACCTTAGGCTTCCTTAAAAGAAATCTCAACATCAGTTCCAAGGCAGTCAGGGAGCAGGCATACAAATAACTTGTACGACCATCTCTAGAGTATGCCTGCACTGTCTGGGATCCCTACTTACACCAAGACATAGATGCCATTGAAAAAGTTCAAAGACGAGCAGCTTGATAAACCACCAATAGCTACAGGAACACCGCTAGTGTCACTGACATGCTCCACCATCTTGAGTGGGAGCCATTATCCCGCAGGAGAAAAAACGCTCGTCTCACAATGATGTATAAAATAATTAACAACCAACCAACCAACAACAAAGTTGCAATTCCACACTCAAACCGTTTAATACCACACAACAGGCAAACAAGACATAACAATTCCAACAGTTTCCAAATCCCACAGTGCAGATCAGAATACAGAAAACAGTTTTTCTTCCCGAAGACAATAAAAGAAAGGAAACCCTACCAGATTCAGTCGTCAAATCCATCACAGTGATTATGTACCTTCGAACTCCACATTAGATTCCAGTAGTGCCTCGTCTGCTATGGTGTATATTCCTACTGAGCTGGCCAGAAGATAGGGATACTGAACGGCGTCCTACGATTATATAAGGAACAAAAAACCCTATAATATATGAAAAATATCTTTAATTTAAACGTTATTATAATTTAGGTATACTATTACAAACATGGTATGCATATAGGATTCGAAAACAAGTACAAAGTACTTATGTAAATCCTTTTTTTGTTTTTTTGTGAGACGGCGATTAGACGGCACTGACTTATATTATAAATATAGATATAGGTATATGGAAGAGAAGAGGATGGAGGGAAGGGGTGAAAAGGTGTTTTAAAGAATATGTAAACTATACAGCGGAGTAAACTTACTGCATATTGGGAGTAAAATCGAGGACTGTACATGGGACTGAGGTCTTCATCACACTATAAGTTATTGTCATATAATGAAACCTTTCTATGCCGACCCCTGTGTATTCCGACATCCAACGTTGTACAGCAACCTGCTGCTGTTATTTTAATTTTAAAAATAACTTTGTTTCATGGGTCCATATCTTTAAATTAAATTAATTTCCGATCGTTTCATCTACATGTTTATTCATATTGATAATTCAAATTAAAGCATACTGATCAAGCTGTTCGGTTACTGAGTTGTATTCAATTCTTATTTATACGGTAAGTAAGAGTGTTTCACGTATCTTAATCAACCGCCCTCCATAGTTTATCGCATACTGTTATAAAACATTTTTGAATATACATACAATATATGACAATGGTCATTCATGTATATGAATATGATATCTAGCACATCATAACAAACTCTTACTGTATTTCGAATCTGAAAATATTCGACAGTGCCAGCCGACACGTCCGTAAAACAGCAGACCCCTTCGACATCAAACTGAACGTCACAGCCAACAGTAGCTACAAATATAGAGTGAGGCCTTGTAAGTTTGATTCACAATAGAAATAGCATGTTCAGAAATGCTCTAGTTTCCGTACGCCTATCACGAACAACCCTTACGCCATATATCTAAGGTTACTAATTTTGCATCTAAATTGTAATGGCCTTAATTTGTATAATGCAAATTGACAATGAGAATAAAAGGGCAAACTCATTAACAAAAATATAATTATATATATGTATTTTCAAGTTAACATATTTGTTTGCATCTCATGACATTGAATACTGTTAAACTCGATAACTCAGAAATATTTTAATATGTTAATGTATACAAGGGGATTGAAAGGCAAGTAATACCAACTCAAATTGTCGCATTACATGAACACATTAGGGATATATATTTTCTTGAAAACCTAGCTTATATCTACGAAGGTTTCTGCCCTGTTGCTGATTATTTTGAAGATGTTTACCCGAGACTTACCAGTAGCAGTAACGAAGTTACACGTATCTCCACTGTAACCCGGGGGACAGATACAGAAAGCAGGGGTGGAACTATCTTCATCACAAGTTCCTCCATTACGGCACGGATTATCTATACATCCTGTAAATTAAATAACAACTTATAGACAACACAATGACAAGCATTGTATTTTTGTATGTATTTATGTATGTAATGTATTTTTCATATGGAGCACCGTAGCAACGTATGATGTGTTCAAAATGTTTGATATTTAGTAAAAAATCATATAATTACCCATATAAATTGACCTGACTCGCCATTTAAATGTTTTTGTACTAGTGCCCCAAAAGTACTATTTCCAGCTCAGGACGTCATATAGCGCGTACAGACGTTCCCAAATACATTTCCAAATAGGAAAATTAATTCCCAATGAGTATTCTCATGATGACAACCCATGTCAATGCCTTAGCATGCTACCGGTAGGTGGTCTTCATTGGTATTTGTCGGTAGATGATAACACGTGATACCTATCTGCACCGCATATTGCCATCCCCCTATTTCAAAACGAAATATGATGACTAAATTCCACCAAATGAAAGAATTTGAACTTGAAAATTCAATGCACATGTTCATATAAAGGGTCGTTTACAGAATGATGCCTCGTTTCTATAAAACATAATTTGCATTATCGAAATAAGAATACTTTACAGCACTTCGGGAAAATGTTTTCTCAACAGCAGGGTACCCTTTTTCGGATTTTCTTTAATCTGAAACCTATTCTGAGATATTGAAAAAAAATGTGAACAAAAAAGATGTTTAGTTACCAGTAATGCATTTATCAATATATACATTTAAGGTGACAAGTGATTTATATTTATATGTATTAAGTAAGAGGCGATTGTGTAATGCTCCGAATTGCGAATATTTCTCTGTTAAGGGAGTTGTTACCGGTGATAAAAGGGTATAAATACATTTTCGTTATAGCAAAAAGCTTGAATAAAATTAGAGTATAGTTGATTGGTTTTATGAAATAAACGATTAGTATTATTTGTTTGTTATTTAGGTATTGGCTAGTTATTTCACAGAGTCTTGCTATATAAGCCTAAGGCAAATATAACTGAGGCGAAAACTAATTGAGGTAGAAACCTCAGGCCAATATAACGGGCCGAAGATTATACTAATAACTCTATTGGTTAACGTAGAAGAAACTGCAAAATGTAATAAGGACAAACACCGAACAAGTATAAAGACAACGCGTCGTAGTTTTGTAGCCTCCAGTATTCAAAATGAATAACATCCGTTACTTGTTCTGTGGTGTCTGTTCCAACTCTGACATACAAAAGTTAACTCTAAATAAAAAGTACGTTTTTAGAAAATAGAACGATTGCTTACCAAATTTAAAATACGGTTTTACTATATATACCGTTAAGTCCAACTGCACAAATCTTGCCGAACTTAAACCTCTGTTTTTGTTATCCGCTGACCATCTCTGCCAATAAGAAATCTAAAACATTCACCTTAATCTTATATCATTCCTTGTTATCGAGATAAATCATCCTCTTTTTTGTTATGTATATGGTCAATTCTTCGTACTGAAGGAGGTTCGTCGCTCAGCTACTCTCAAATTGTTATACTTGCGTCTAAATGATTGCGTTGAAAATTCCGAACGTTGGAAATAGATGTTTCGCGCGTTTTTTGTGTAGACCGACTTTTCTTGTATCGACCGTTTTTTATTGTTTCAATAACAAGATTGCTTATAAATACGTATTCATTGGTATTGGATGCCTATATAAAGGATCTTACATGAGTTTCCATTTTATATGAGATTTATGAGACGAGTCTAAGAAATGTATTCACTAGATAACACAGTGCATTATATGATATAATAAATATATGCTTATTTTAACAATTAACTACTAAATCCTTATTTCAACAATTAACTACTTAATGTATTACAGTAATCACTATGTATACACGCTTTCTGTATAACATACAAAAACATATCTATCTCATGTTTCTTTTATTGTTGCCTGTTTTAAGATAATTTCTTACCTGATGCAAATGCCGTCAGTTCCAGGCTTGCGCCGGTTCCAGGGGTTATGCTTGTGTCATCGGCATGTAGAATTACCATTGCAATATTAGCCTCACCGTTGGGGAATGTTACGAACTCCTTTTCAGACGATAACGAGCCGCACTCCCTTAAAGTGTGAATTGTAATAGAATGAAAAAAAATAATGATATCTTATATATGTATATATAACAAACAAATTAGAGCATTCGATTTTTCCGCATAAGCACATTTTGACATTTAGATAGACGTGAAATTTAGTAGATTTCAACTAAATTCACAAATTATATTTCGTTGAAGAAACATGCAGAAATCAGTATCTTTAGATAAATAGTATGTACCAATTACGTAGCACAGCTTTGTACAAACGTATCTGAAATTTGAATAAACATTGTCCAGACATTTGCTACTTGTGGACTGATTGTAACACTTCAACTGGCTGTGTGATTTAATACATGCAATGCATTGATGGTCTCCCTTTAATACTGTATGGAAAGTAAGAAACATCAACAGGAATTGATTTGATTGTTAAACAATTATTGATCTTACTTTTGTTCTTTATGTAAATTTCAGCGTTGCCGCTATAAAAGGTAACCCTTTCTCATATAGGTGGAGGACAGTTTATAAAGAAAAAGTCTTAGGCGCCGTAAAATAATGATGTCACGCTAGACAACAAAGCTGCGCACAATTTTGAAAGAGTGACGCAGTTTATTCTTTTTGATTTCTGTAAACATCTGGTAGGATTTGCTAACAAATAGTTATTAATTGTGTATTAACACATTGTAAAACAACCACTAATTCTACCGTCTGCAGTTGACCAGCATAGCCGAGACCTTGTGTGCAGCGAGTAGGAAGAATCATTTTGATTAGTCGATTCCAATACCGAATGTGAGACGGTTACACAAATATCACTTTTGATATCTGTCATAATGAAAGATTTCAGTTCTATAAAAATTACGTAATTCAATGTCTTATTGGCAAAATATCTCTTCAATATATCAAATCATAAATAATGTTTTATGCAACTTACATAAGGCCGAATTCTCCCATGAGATGGGTTCTGAATTCGAGGTCATGACCACACGGGACATCTAAACCTTTCAGCGTTATACGGATTCTGTTGTTGGCGGGGGCCTGTAACAGTACCCAGCAATTAGAAACATGTTTTAACATTTATGTGTTAGCTGATTTTAAGATTGTCATTGTTTGCCATTTGGTATCTTGACTTTGAATGAAAATAAGTTATACACTTTCCATATACTACTTGCTCACGCGCTACAAACTTATGTTTAACAAATATTTTAATTGTAAATAAATATTCAAATAAACAAAATAAATACTTATTTGAATAAATAAAGCCTAAGTTTTTGAATAAATAAATAGGCAGGACAAATTGGAATTTGAAATGAACAAGAGGGGAATTAGGGATATATATTTAACAAATGTACAATGCTCTATTTTAAAATTGCAATGAAATTAGAGAATAAACGCCGGCAGAACGTGGAGGCGAATCAAAAGTATGCAGAAGGATTCGCCTTTTCTTCTCCGTCATCATATCGCAAGGCAATTCATGGATGCAGGCAATACCTTTGTTATATTTTTAAGAAGAAGCGGAAAGCATTACCCTAAGTCAACAACACAACTTTCAAACATCAACACTTCAAAGAATAAGCAGCATTTATTTCACTTAATGTTATCTAATAATAAAAAGTACCATTATGGTCCAAAAACACAAAATCAACAGCAAAATAACTTTCACCTTGATGAGATAAGTGCATGCTTCGCCCACAGGATATGAATTAGGGAAGCCGCCCGTATCGACTAGTTTTGTCTCCCCTTCTTGCAGTTCTATGATATCACCACATGTACCTGCAGTAAACATTGCGATATATTTGTATATGACATGGTATTTTGTCGTGTAGAATTATATCGAAATTGTGAAGGTGTTGGGATAAGCTGCGTTAACAAAGTAATCTATGTTTCATAATCAGTCTACGAATGCATACATGTTATTTTAAAGCAAATAATGTTACCAAATATTAGAAAGCAAACATTTCAAGTGTGACAGTTTGTCGTAGAATGGTTCTAGCTTGTACCTTCACTAAATTCAGTGTAGTAATATGGTAATGTAAGAGCAGCATATATGAGTTGTTAAAACAAACAAACTATGTTGCACATCAGATTTAAGACGAATTTTCTTAAGTTGGCAAAATTTAATCAAAAATTGTATTTTTTTTTTTACCTTAGATGAATCTATACATATTTTCAAAATAAAATAATGTCTGAATAGTTTGATTGAAAACTATTTACAAAAATGTTATTCATTTTTACAATTTGAAGTATACCTTATATTACAATTCCTTGTATTAACAACTTCCATTTCGAATATTAGAATAAGTCTTAATCATCAAAGAGAAGTTTATGAAGCTAGATATTCCAATATTGTCCCTCTATTAAAGCAAAGGAGGCGGCGCCGCATGTAAAGACATGAGTAAATGAAACGGGGATTGTCTTCTAAGTCTTCTAACCTGGCGTTTCTTTAATTGATAATTTCCTTCCCTACCTATATTTGTATGACTTTCTCATTGCCATGTACTCTTTTCCTTCTTCATTTTTACAATTTTCTTGTTGCCATAGATCATAGACACACTAGCCTTTTCTACCAAGTCCTGTTTGACTTATTAGACAAGGAGTTTACTAATTCAATAAACAAGTACAGCACTTACTTGTACGATCTGCACAGGTAGGACCAGTGAGATACTCCGGACATCGACAATGACATTGGTCGTTGTTAACTGTCTTACGTATGAATCCGCCGTTTTCACAATTATTAGTACAATCTACAAAATACATTGATCTGTCTGACCTATACATTATACATCAATATTACATTATAACCTACACTGTGTCTTTATTAAAAAAGAATTACTGTCTCGTATATATCCGCACTGTACATATACAAAACCGTCTGCTCCTTGCCATATCACAAGGACTTATATTTCCATTTCATATGAAATATTAAACGTTCATAATTACTGACATGAGATCTATAAACTCTGGTAGCATACCAGTGAAAATGTTCACCCCCGAATCATCAAGCCCAAATAAGTATAAGATATGTATGAAATCGAGTTGCAGGAAAAAACAAAATCTATTTTAAAATGATATGTACCTGTTGTATACTTTGCGGATTCGGTGTGAGAATAGTCCATCTGTACTAGCCATAACTTTGCAGTATACAGAAATATTACCTGTTGTTTTTAATCAAAATGTTACATCAATATTATTCTCTATTTTATATCTGTCTGGTCTTGTTTTATCTTTAGTGCACAACGGTGTTGACTTTTTTTAATTTATTTTTTATACATGAATGTTGCCGTTGGTTTTGAATCTTTTTGTACATCAATGTTGCTGTATATTGTATATTAATTGTACCTGAATTTTGCTGTTTGTTTTGTATCTCTATTGTGCATTAATGTTGTTTGTTTATATTTTCATTGCACATGAACTTTGCTGTTTGTTTTATATCTCTATTGTACATCAATGTTGTTCGTGTTTTGTATCTCAATTTAACATGAATAATACTGTTTGCTTTATATTTCTTTTGTAAATAAATCATGCTGTTTGTTTTATAACTCTATTGAACATCAATGTTGTTGTTTGTTTTATATCTCTATTGTACATGAATGTAGTTGTTTGTTTATATTTTCATTGTACATGAACTTTGCTGTTTGTTTTATATCTCTATTGAACATCAATGTTGTTGTTTGTTTTATATCTCTTTTGTACATGAATGTTGTTGTTTGTTTATATTTTCATTGTACATGAACTTTGCTGTTTGTTTTGTATGTCTATTGTACATCAATGTTGCTTGTTGTTTTGTATCTCAATTTTATATGAATATGACTGTTTGCTTCATATTTCTATTGTAAATAAATGTTGTTGTTTTTTTTCTATCTTTATTGTACATCAATAATGTTGTTTGTTTTATATCTCTTTTGTACATCAATTTTGCTGTTTGTTTTAAATTTGTATTGTTCATCAAATTAGCGTTTTTTTTTTTTTTGTGTAAATCAATGTTGCTGTTTGTATTGACTAGCTATTGTTGATCAACGGTGTTGTTTATTTTATATCTCTATTAAACATCAATGTTGCTGTTTGTTTTGTATATCAATCGCTCGTCAATATTACTATGCTTTCTATATATCTGAAGTATATCACCATTACAGTCTGTTTTGACCTGCATTATACTCAAATACAAACTGCCTAGTTAATATTTTTGTATATGACATTTGCCAACTTTTTGATTTCAAAAAGTATTTAAATTATAGTTTTAGTCGTTATATAAATTACCATTGCTGGAAAGGAGGAGAGATTTAGCGAGTGATTGTGTTAAGAGTAGTTAAATGATACATTGACATTTGAGGGTTATTAAATTGTACATACCTTCGTCACACGCATACGCCCTGACAATGGTTTGACTGTCGTAATGTGTGAACTTCCGGGACAACGTGTACAGGAGAGAATTGTACGAGGGATCTGACGTCTGCATTGTTCCCTTACTTAATCCACATTTATTGAATATCTGTGGCAAAAATCAGATTTAATTCATAAAAAAATAAAAACTTCAGTTCTGGATATAGAGCTGTGAAATCGTTCAAGGAAAGTTTTTAACTGAGAATTATAATTTTCACTTTGGAAACCTAATATATATCACAGCAATAAAGTGCAGGGCCAAATCAGGACTTCATCTCGACAAGTAATCAGGAATTAAGGAAATACCAAATCATAGGAGAGGAGGAGAGAAAAGGTCCTCACAAGGAACCTTATGTAGCGGAAACCTTTCCAGTTCTCGTCATGATCTTATGTCCAGGACATTTTTTAGATCCCCATTGCATCAACAGTTTGGGTATTTTTGCAAATAAATGTGCATTTATTTGTATGATATCAAATTCTGATCTTGAATATTTCAGATTTCTCTATTACTCCCTAATCAAAGCACACTTTTAATACACGTAAATTAGTTAAATCTAACACACAATAAAAAGAGGAGTATATTTATTGCGGAATGAGTTTAAAGTCAGTATAGATCAAATATCAATTAGTAGTATATAGAATCGTATTAGAAGTATATAGTGTCTTCAGTAATACCAAATATATTTCACGAGTGCGGCTAATATTTGGATATGCGCACGAGTCATTTTTTAAAAAAATATTAGCCACACGAGTTTAATATTTTGTTAAGTAGGCTTTTAAGTTAATATTTTGAACCAAATTGAAATCATAATTTACTTATTTAGAAAATGTCCCGCCATGTCAACTCAGAACACCACGAGTTGTTGATAAGCGCCGAATCTACAATTATTGGTAGTGGGGGAAATGTGGAGTTGTTTTGTCACTACTTATCCAAATGGTCAAATATCAACACCACCTATATAAGTTATACTTATGATCCTGGTTCTCTTATACAGTTGTACTTTCTGCCAATCGCTCAGCCTAACTTTCGACTTGGAGACGTTGACACTGTGTTTCATTTGACATGAGTTTTCCCCTATCAAAAAGTTAGAATTGCTGACCTGCATAGTCTGCTGGCTTTCATGAAAGTTAATTGTGGAATTAATCGTTGTGTTTCCCCGAGGGAATAGTTCCCCAATGATGGGTAACAGATGATTATTTTGAGCAGTAATGAATTGATGTATAAGACGGATTTTCGCGAAGCCTGCGTACCGCTAAGCTAACCAGGCTTGTACACGATGGGCCACTTGTAATTTTCCAATGGAAGTTTGTAATGAATGTTTTGATTGGTCAAATCCACCAAAGTGCTATTTTTAAGTTGTGAAAAATATCACTTTTATAGAATGAATAAAGGGCCGGTTTCCAAAACGGCCCCTTCTCTGATTCAGATTTCCTGTTGGTGGTACATTGCCCATGCCGTTGTGGTCACAAATCTATAAAGTATAAAGATTTAGGTCACTTGGTTTGTTTTTTATGACTCCCCAAAGTTGTACCTTTCAGAAGCTGTCC